CATTTTCATGCGGATATCTGACATAAGAATCTTGGAAGCATGCCATGTGTCCAGGCAGGGGACATTCGTGATGCGAGGAGTGGCCAAGGACTCAGCTTCCTCGGCGCCTTGTCCGCCTGAATGTGTGGGTACCAAGGCTAGATCTTCCAGGCAACAAGATCAGCGCTTCACAATCATGATGGATGAGGATCCAGATTTGGTCCTGCCACCGGGCTTGCAAAGCCACAGTTGCAGCGGCTGCAATTTGCACTTGTTCCAAGTGCTGGAAACATGCGGTGCTGTGCTGCCAGTAGACACTTTATTTCTGCGAATGCAATGCTCGTGAGCCTATTGTAGGTTTGCTTCCTATGTGCTGGAGCTGAGGTATCCAGATGCAGCAGGCTGCCTGTTTTGTCAGTGAATAGACAATCTGTGCCATGTCTGGCCGTCCAGGAAGTGTTCCACCTGGGCTCACAATCGTCAAAGGACTGTTGGGACGTAAGCCTTGGTGGAAGGCTTCCTCGAAACAGGGCCAACGAGCTCTCGCTTAACTGGGTTTGAGGTCGGGAACATAGGCAGAGCGCGGCACTTCCACTGGTTGTTGAGAGTATTAGTTATTAGGTGTAACAACAGCCCGACTTGTGAGATGTTCAATTTGCATCCTAATCACTGCGTGCCATGACAACACCTGCAGTACGATTGCCAACTGAGGGTAGTTGATGCCGTGATGAGCTTGGTGCCAGGGATGTGTCCGAGCGTGTGTTGTTGTCAAAATTCGTGTTGGTGTGCTGAGTCCCGGTGTACAGTTGCATCGCACCAGTGTCAGATGGTTTCGGAAAGTCAGAGGACCTGGCCGTGTGGAGGACGACAGAGATTTTCTGCTGAATTGCCTTAAAGCAGCTTGGCCGCATTGATGCGGCAGTACGCCCAGGCATCGTGCATGTCGGTCATGATCTGTTGAGGATGGTGCGGAGTTTGAGATCGTCCTTGACTTCAACTCACTAGACAAGAGGAAGGCAGTCAGCAGCTTTACAACTTTCTGTATGAAGACACTTTCGCAAATGTCTGCGTGTGGTCAGGTTATTGATGTCCGATGGCTCAGCCAGCCTGTAGATGTAAGCAGCATGATCCTTGGAGTGAGTTGGAGATTGCAGCTTTCGGTGTTCTTATGTTCTGCCAGCATGTTGCTTATCGATGACAAGATCGGTATGCACGAGCAACTCCCGGAGCAATAAGGAAATCCACTTTCCTCAACTTCTTCGGTTCTCGATGACTGAGTCGGTGGAGCGATGTCCTCCGTGCAGCTCCGGTGAATGCAGCCCCTTTAGATTGTTCGTTCTGTACCACACCATATCCTGAGTGCACGGATCTTCCCATGTTTCACGGGAACATGGCAGCTGAGCTAGCCGCTTTCTTCGACGTGAAAAAGCTGCATCATACAGGACAGCATGATGGCTCTGCGTCTCAGGTGCCAGAAGCACGCGCTAGGTCACCAGGTCATGGCAAGATTCCCTGTCGAATCAGGCTTTGTCCTATCACTGGCCAGTTCTTTGTGAAGCCCACCGTGCTTTATGGTGGGGTCAGCAACCAAGAAGAAGACTACGTGGCGTCGCTTGAATGCCTGAAGAAATGGCATTTCTCGAAGCACAATGAGTCACAATGAGGGTGACACTGCCAAACCCAACCTTGCTGACTTCACCGGTGCAGCTCTGCCTACAGTCAAAGCATCAAAGCCTTGCAAACTGTTTGTACGCTTTGCTCCATAATTACGTGATGCTTAATGTGCACGCGCTTTCGCTGAATCTGCCATTGGATGGATGAGCACCCTCCAATACAACCCAAGCTGTCAGGTAATGCAAGCACTGCCCCAAGCGGGACGGCCAGGTAGGACCCTGAAGGCATGTTGCTGGTGAAGCACATCCTCATGGAAAAGCGGCCGTCCTTGTTGCAATTGCTCACGTCAAGATCTAGGAAATGAATCAGGGCTTCGTAGGCCGTGACAAGTTTTTGATCGGACTACCTGCACAGCTTCTACAAACCTCGGGGCCAACACGACACGTCCATCAGCGATGCGAGCAATCTTCACTTCAGAAAACAGTCTTCTGGTTGGCTTTACCTCTGCAGGAATGGAGGACCAGGATTGGTCCTCACACAAGCCTCACCTCATGCATCTGACTGAGACCATCGAGCAATTGCGATTCCGAGGTTTTCGAGCAGAGTGCGGCCATGCGATGGGTTGCCAACACAGGCCGGAGCAGTTCCTAAGAGTGTGAGTGGTGGCTCGACAACGGTTATTGTAGTGGGTATGTTAAGAGTGGAAGCGCCAGTGGTGTAGAGTGTCGAGTGCTCGCACAACCCTGTTTCCTTGACGAGGCCGCCATCCGATCCTGCCTCTTGATAGCAACAGGGCTTGTCTTTCAAGCACCTGGCTTTCCGTGTCATTTTTTTCTGGCGCTTCAGGCGTGGAATAGACTGTCGGCTTGCGGATATTATTCCTGCGAAGGATGTGGAGGCAGATGTCGCGCTTCGAGCTTTACTGCTCCATTTGCCCTTTGCCCGTTGCTGTCACAAGGACTTGTGCCATCGACTTGCTGCTTCTAAGGGCTGGGTCCTTGCACTCAGACTTCCCTTGATGTAAGCCGCCTTCAGCAGCCACGTTTGAGGTCTGAAACACAGCTAAGGTTCTTCAGCAACGGCCGTCTACAGCGGCGTGCAATGAGCCATGTTGAACATGGCTAGATCCTCGAGTACGCACCAAATTGCGCCAAAGCCTGGTGAGATCCTGTCGACCCCTTTTAGACGAGCAACTGGTAGGATCGATCCTGCGCAGCAAAACATGGGTCTATCCTTGCCTATCCCCCTTTTGGCAGATGTGCACATCGCGTGAAAAGCCGCAAGGAGGACAGTGCTGCATCCGCGCTGTCACGGTTCACGGAGTTTTGAGAAAGCATCTCCCTGAAAGCCTCAAAAACTCATGTTCTCAACAGTTAGAGCTGCTGGAGCCTAAGCCTCAAGTCGGCATGTGACCCCAGGGTGACCTGCCGCTTAGCTCTACGTAGAACTGGTTCGGGCACTTCGTGAGCCATGCGACCTCGGCATACAGCGCCGGAAGTAGCGAGCAGCTCGAGCATCTCAAACTTGTCCTCTCCAGTGTCTCCCGGTGTCTCCCGGTCCAGTCCCGGTCCCGTTCTGAGGTTCCATCTGACATCGAAGGTCTCGGCCTCGGCCGGTTTCTGGGATGCTGTGGGCATGTGGGCGACCGAGGGGGTGGCAACAGCTATGGCAAGACCATCTCCATGGCAGGTGGCTTGAGCTGTTTCCTGTGCCAAAAGTGGTCGAAGTCCACCGGCCAGGTTCTGGAGGCCGACCCATAATCCAACCGTTCGAGGCACAAGTGGCAGGAGCCGATAAACCTTTCGTGTGACATCTGACATCGCCTGAAGGGCCATGGAGGCGGCGACGGCAAGTCCAAGGGCCGCAGGTGACGGGTTCTGTAGAAGCTTAGCGAGACTCATAGTCATGCACAGTATATTGATCTGCAGGGGCATGGCCATGGACAAAGAGCTTCTGCAGAAGGTGCTTTCAACCAAGCCGTTGGATGCTTCGATCCCCCGAATTCAGCAGGTCGGACTGGGAGTCGGAGGGGTTTGGCTCCTTGGTTGGCTGCTTCTCGGGTACTGGGCCGAGTAGTCGACACGTCAGCAGGGTGGCTGCCTTCCCTAAAGCACCTGAGGTGGGATGTGATGTGGCCGCTGTACCTGGCAAAGAATGCTCGATTACCGGGCGCAGAAGTCGCAGAGTTTGTGAATCGCCGCGGCGGACCCTGCAGACTGAAAAGCCAGGTATATGACTTGCTTCATTACATCTTGCTAGAGCCTTGATGCCTGTCAGCCGCAGTGCATTCAGATGATCCAATCAAGGTGCAAACCATTTCTGCAGTCCGTGAGCCTGCTGCCAAAGATCAGGTCCTTCCCTCCATTCTCCTGGTTCTCCTGGATGTTTGGTGGCTGGTGCGCTTGCCTACACCTCGTGCAACAAGCGTGTCACGGGTGTGCCTTGCTGCAGGATGTCTCGGGGGGCGCCGGTTCTGAACCATGGCCAGCCCATAGAGGTGCCTGAGCTTGGAGCATTGCCAGAGCACCGGAGTGCACTGTGTCAGGAGGCAACGCTGCCTGCAGGACAGGTGTCTCAGTGCCCCTGCAGCTCGCAGACGTGCTGTGAGACCGCATCCATCTTGCAACTTCGTTTTCTGTACTTGCCTGCGCAACAAGTCTCTTTTTGGTTGCATTGCTCCCAACGGTGATGTGCATGAAGATGCTTAGGCGTGACACTCGCGAGTCGTAGCATTGCATTTCAACCAATCGGGCCCGGTCGAGAAGGATATCTGTGTGGGCCAATGTCACACATGAAACATACGGGGACACACACATGAAGCTCATCCGGCTGTCTTGACTAAACGTGTGGAAAGCGACATCGTTCCGGACTCTCGAAAACAAGAGCGATCGGCGGCAAGGCGCGATCAAGCGCAAAGGACAGCCCCAGACCCTGACCTCATAGCAAACGCGATCAATGCCATGGCCCTGACGGCTTACACGAGCTTTAGTGGGAAAAGGTATGTCAACAGCTACGTGCAGCAGTACGGCGACGCTGTTGGGCTCCCAGTATTGGCGCAGCGCGGTTGGTCAGACAGAACGGTTTGATCCTGAGCGAGTGAGCTTGACTGTGGCCATATGAGCAAAGGCTTTGATCTTCGCAACGAACGATGGGTGCGGCTGGAACTGAATGCAAGCATCAGCAGGTGATTTGTCATCGCTATGCCACACGCAGGTATCCCCAGATTGTGAAGGAGCTCATCCACAACGAGGATCTGGGCTACAGGTCATTGTGCTTCGTGGCAACTTCCTGTGGCCGTCGTTCCTGCCCTGAGTGCTGGCAGGGACCTGGTGGATGCACGCGATGACAGTGGGAACACAGCTCTGATCTACGCAGCCGCAAAGGCACGTCCCCAGACTCGGCAGAAGAGAAACTCTTCTGCTGTGTTTGCTCAGGGATTCCGGCAGTGCACAGCGGCCCTGCTCCGCGCCGGCGCCGATCCAGAGCTGCCCAACCAGGGCAACGGTGACTCGGCTTTGTCGCAAGTGCAGCCACCAGGTAGAGTCCATGTCGTAGCAAGGGGAAGCGTGTTGTGATCAGCAAAAACTGGCCAGGTGGGCGAACTCCGCTGATGGAGGCAGCAGGTGGAGGATACAAAGACATTGTCCACCCGCGCATGTTTGACATGATACGTAATGTTTTGAAACGGTCTCACGGGCACAATTCATCGAAGAATCAGCTGCACCTTCAGCTGCTCACCAGGTTTCGGCTCTGCGAATGATGCCTAAAGCCTGAAGCTCTTTTCTGGCACACGGCGGCTCCAAGCTGCAACCTTGACCGGTCAAGCCTCGGAAACTTGCCCAGATTTCCGTCGATCTTGCTGATGATCATGGCAACACGGTCCGGGGGCTCGGTGACATCTGGTAATCTGGAATTTGCACACAATAAGACCATCCACTTGACGAGGCCCTGCACTATGCGGCCTATCATGGTCATCTTGCAGTCGTCATGGAGTTGCTGAAAAGCAACCCCAACAAGGACAGTGGGGTGCTGCAGCTGTGAGAAACAGCTGTCACGACAGTATGTTCTCACGGCATGATTTCTGTAACGTCTTTACGGCCTGAACTTGCGTCTAGCTTGGACTGTGAGAGCGAAGGACCTTAAGAACATCTATGGTCACACTGCGGCGAGTTACGCTGCTTCCAACAAGTTCAAGGAGCCTGGTTGCTTCGCATATCCTGACGGTTTTCGTAGTCCGTTTTACATGCTGTGACTTCTGCAGGCTAAAGGCGTGTCTGGTTTAGTCTTTGTTCGCCCTGACATGCCCTGACATGCAGGGCATAGCCGACGTCCTGAACAGGGCCGATCCCGCCAGATCACAAAGGACTCGGACTCTGCTTGGGGCTCTGGCTCTCTCGGTGCGGAACGCAGCTGCCAGGAGAGCCCAAGAGAAGGAGAAAGCGGACGAAGAGGCCGCCAAGGCTCAACCACGGGGAATGTGGCTTCCACCGAGAATCGGGGTGAAGCCAAATCGTGGGTCATAGGGACACTCAAGGTGGGAAGACGAAGGAGATAGCAAAACCAGTGGTTGCAATTGGATTTGTGGTTGGGCGGTTTCAGAGGAGGGTCCACTGCCGGGAACCAACAATGCCAAACTGCATGCTGGTGTGGGGGAGCGCCGGACACCCGTGGCGGAATGGACCAGCTGGAAACCGCCAGTAGGTGCACTTCAGGATCGTGGAGCAGGTGACATAAGATAGAACAAGATTGCATGCTGCGGTGGGCCGTTTGCTGAACCTATATTTAGTCTATGTTGTTCCTATCTCAGTAGAACACCCATAACACGCGCCGCTGTCAAGCAGCAGCTGAGATGCAAGGAAATTGAAGACAAGATCCGCGAGCATTTGAATCAGCTGAAGTCAAAGCAGGCCATGAGCGAATAGTTGTCGAAAGAGCAGTGCGACATCTTCTGCCGAAGTGACGTGCGAAGTGTATGTTTATGTCAGGAACATGAAGAGAAGAGCAAACACGTCAAGGCGGCACATCCTAGTGCAAAATGTGGCTAAGTGCCGTGCTCTCGCTCTGCTTTGTTGAATGCGAGTCTCTCACTGCTTTTGCAGGGGAAAGCTGAGAACCTGCATGACCGTGATGCAGAGGAGCCGGTGGCATCATACCCTAATGCGTTATCTGATGTCGGTGCAAGTGACTATAGACTCATCAGTTGACGCCAGTCGCTGCTTGCTGCACAGCCATCCCGAATGAGAAGTTGCAAGCGTTAGTGTAATGGCTCATTACGACATAAGCACCAAACGAGAGATGATATCGCATCAACAAGATTCAGGCTGTAGTCAGTTTCCTCGGTTACTGCATGGCTGACACATGAGCGGACTGGCGGCACATGGCAGCACCTTTCCTTGAGCCGATCGTGCCAGTGTCCGCGCAGGTAGGTGCACTGCCAGTGTATGCGCCGACTGTCGCTTCTTGGAGATGGCCTGCACCCGTCATCATTGGTCAGGCCCAGGCTCCCCAGGCTCCCCAGGCTCCCCAGGCCCAGGCGCCTGGGCCTGGGCGCCGATCTGTGGCTTACGTCTCGGAGCCCGTGACTGCACGCTGGGCACATGGCCAGGGCACGGCCGGCACGGGCACGGCTTCGCCAGATCCATCCCCCCTCGTGCAGCCATGGCCGCTGCCACCGGCACAGCAGCCACCGGCACAGCAACCCCATCAAGCCTGCCTTAGCGAGCCAAGCAACATCACGAACAATCCGGCATGCGACCTCTCCACGAAGCCTGCAGCATCACCTCCGGAAGGAGTCGATACAGAGGCAGCCATTGTTGATCTCAAAGAGCAGATCGGTGGATTGCGTAAAGAGCTCCATGCAGTTCGCAGCAACTTGGATGCTCAGCTGCGGAAAGAGCAGCCCCAGCTCGGCGCATTGCGCCAGCGGGTGAACTCACTTTGCTCTGAACTGGCTGACTGTGGCACTGAAGCTCTGAAGATGTGTTCGGATCTCGGACATCGAGCTGCTGGTGATGCTGTTCTGCGAAGCCGCAGTGCACCTGGAGGCAATGTGTGGCGGAGGCCATCAGGCTGCCCACAAGCGCGGAATCCCGCCATCCGGCTTTCGACAGGGCCAGCAGTGTATTCCTGCATTCCAGCAACACTGTCTCCTCGCATGCTGCGAGCAGCACCAAACGCTAATGCCTCAGAACCGATCACTAGTGGAGTCGCACGACGCTGCAGCGGACGCACAGATGGGAGCAATCTTCCATCTCGAGCCCAAAGCGCGAACTCTGTGAATGTGATGACGGCGAACACCACTGCACAAAGCCTCCCCCGAAACGAGAGTGCCAGCAGCTTCGTATTGACTGCTAAGCCTATGCAAGTTCGGACCTCCGCGGTGTCCACATTGGCCGCCCCGCACGCCCCACCATCTCCGAAAGAGACGGTTCCGGCAAAAGCCTCAAGAGCTTGGTCACCAAATCCTGTTCCAGGATCTCTGACTCCGGAGATTTTGCGGCAGGCATCTGCGAAATCGGCGGCTTCCGACGGAACTACCTGCCACAACTGCGGTGGCCTGGCTGTCTTGGCTGATGATTGCATCAAACTTGCTTGTTCAGGCTTCGTTTTTGGTGCAAGCTAAAGCTTGGTGCCAGAGCGGGTGTTTCGTACTTTCCACTTCCGTTCAGCAGTGCTTTTGGACTTACCTGGGGCACGCTGCAAACTGTGCTTTTTCTGACAGCAACCCTCACAACTCCCGCTGCTGAGGCAATCGCCTGCCCCCTGATGCTCCCTATTGTCGGTTTTGCGGCTTGGGACGATATCGCGTCTGCCTGACATGTGTTCGGAGCGCTCTTAGCGATAGTGACACGGCCTCGAGAAGGGTCAAATTTGTGAAACCAGCTGGCTTGGTTGGCCGCGGTTTAGTTCCATGTTCGTAGACAGTCACATGCCAGGCAAGAGCGCCAAGGCATTCAGTGTACCCTAGCTCCGAAGCAGAGGACTCGTGAAGCCGTTGGCTGGCAACCGTCAACAGTCTTTTAAACTGGCATCTTGTTCAGGATGCGGCAGCTGGAATCAATGATGACGCGCTGCGTGAAGAGGCGAGCAGGGGCTTTGAACACGTGCTGGATGGGAGGGTGATGCATAGCAGCCAGCATCAACGTGACATATTTGCAGTCGCCATGTCTTGCATGTGAAGCTTCGCTGCAGGTGGTCAAGCAGCTACACGAAATGGCTGCGAACCCAGCTTCGAATCGGGAAGGAAAGTCGTGTCGATTTTTTGCATCCTGGAGTAGTATCAATTGAGCACAGTGAGCCATGATAGGAAGGACTCTTAGTGTTCAACAGATTCTGTAGACACATGTTCAGTTGTTCCACTATGGAGATCTATGGAGAAATATGCAGATTTCACAAAGCACGACAGGCAGAGCTGGCGAGACGAGCTTCTGAACGTAGTTGATAGGTAGTGGAATGTAGTGTTTTGCAGTCTTGTTATCATGACGAGCAATCTGGAAGTGAGGCTTCCCTACGTGCTGCGGGCTGAGAGTCTTCAAATGGCTCAGAATTTCATCGTACAGATTGCTTTTGGTGGCGAGGCGGAGAATGCTCGCATGAGTGATCGCCTGATCTCCGCCGGCTTCGGTCCGATCAGCATGCCGCAGGCTGTGCAGGCTGCGTCATGCTAGCCTGTGCACTGAACGTGGCTTTCGTTGAGCGCAGGCGCAGCCAAGCTCTCCTTCAGGCAGCACAGTAGGCGGTGACAGCTGCCGTCGTGTGTCAGCAGGCTCAGCAGGCACCCAGGCGAGTTTGGTTTTGTGAGGCAGCCCCAGGAGCAGGAGGCGTGCCATGGAACCTGTGCGAGAAGGGTCCCCATTGGGCCAGTCGGCTTTGTGGCACAAGCCGGGCAGGACTTGTGGCGTTGCCAGCCGATGTCACATCAGATGGTTCCTTGCTGCTCTCTCAGGATTCCTTCAACAATGAAGGATGCTGGTATGACAGGCAGCCAGACTTGTCTCCCGAAGCAGCGAAGAAGAAAGTTTCTCTGTGACAGGCCAATGGTCGCCAAGACGTCCCTCTCAGCACTGGACCTCTCGGCGCTCAAAGTTCGTGCCCCGGCAGGTGCTCAACACAGCTCACACAGAGTAGCAGCAGCTGCATATCTCTGGCAAGCAGAGTTCCCTCACCTGTTGTCTGAGGCCACGGAGGCACGCAGATTCCTACGTATTCTGCTATGGATGCTGCTTCTGCACCTGTTGCAATGCATCTTCATCCCTGGCCATGTCGGTTGCACTCGTCCAACTTGTTCGGATTGTGCGAGCAAGCTGGGGGGCAGGTCCGCAGCCTACGTCTAAGTTGACCTGTCGCTCGTGAGGTAGCAGATTGATGAGAAGCAGAAGCAAAGTTCTTCTGGTAGTTGCGAAGGCCGACAGACACCGAACACCCACATGGCCCGAAGCGGAAAGAGCACTGGCCCACAACGAAGCTTCTCAGAAAGCAGGTTTGGACGTAACGTCCCTGATCTCAGGCTGGAGCCCACAAAGGCCTTCCAACTCCCGTGTAGTTAGCAAATGATTCGCCGCGTTGGATGCGCCGGGCTTGCGCAGAAAGAGCGCGAAGGAGGTCCCCGTAGAGGAGTCAGAGAAGCCCGGCGGAGACTCAGGACTTCGAGCCATCCATAGAGAAAGACGATGGCGTCTCGGAGTCTGAACGAAAGGCGCTTTGCGAACTCTGACACACCGTGCCGACAGCGGCGCAGACACGGAGAGCGCCAGGCCCTGGAGGACCAGCTGACCCGACTCCGACGACAGCACGAGGAGGACCCCGAGTGTCTGAGTGTCTTTCTGTCTTTCTGTCTTTCCTTTGTTTATTTTTTTGATGTGTTGAGGCGGAGCTGAAGTCACAGAAGAAGATTGCCCGGGCCTGAAAGATCTGAGGTCGACGCGAATGGATAGAGAACCAGCAGATGCATGCTGTTTGCCTCAATGCAAGCAGTGGAAGCTATCGACAAGGTTGAGCTGCTCGAGAAGACTTCTGAGCAGCAGCGTGCTCTGGATGAAGCCAAGGAAAAGCCCTGCTATTCGGCAAACCTCTACAAGATTAGGCCAAAAGTGGTTTGTGGCTCATTGCTCTTGGCCTTCAGGACAAGCATCGTGAGTTTCAGCTCAACCATACAGAGCTGCAGCCTGCAGCTTGGTTGAGCTGCCCTTTTGCTTTGGGCTCACTGCTCCCGCCGTTTTTCCCTCTCTTTCTTTCTGTCTGTCTCTCTGTTGAGCGTGCGGAGGGCAGAGTTGCCTTGCAGGTTGAAGGTTGACGAGCTTGAGACGAAGCATCGCGCCAGCGTCCTCAAGGCGCAGGAGCGAGACGTCGTCCGCCTCCAGAGCGGCAGCTTGTAAAGACATGTCACCCGTAGTGTGCAGGAGGAGGCCGACAGGGCGAAGGACCTGGCAGACAAGTGCGAAGCTCGGCAGAGCGCCACTCAGACTGCGTGTCCATGCGTGTCCCACGACCGAAGCGAGAGGCACCAGGAGGTGAAGCAAGAGCTCGAGCGGCACAAGCAGCGGGCCGAAGTCGCTCCCTTGGCTTTCACTTCGAGTCTCTGCAACTCTGCAACCCCCCCTACTTGTTGGAGCCTTTCCCAGCACGACTTTGATAGCAGCAAAAGCCTACAAGCCGAGCAGCCTTTCGCGCAGGATCTTGCGTTTCAAGACAAGCGGGTTGAAACTCATGCCGGAACGAGTCGGCAATGGCAGGGACAACTTCAGCGTGAGGGTCGGCATGAGCTAGACAGTGAGACTTCCCCGATGTTCAACGCCGAGCGAATCGCAGGATCTCTAGTCCGACTCCGTAAGATCGGCAAGAGGACGTGTGGAATCTAGCCCGGATGATGACGAGTTGGGCTGTTCCAGCATGAGGGGGCTCAACACATCGAGGCACAACAACAGCACGGAAGGTTTTGCGTACCTGGTTTCGCCTCGGATGCAGTGCAAGCGTGGAACCTCGTGGCTGCGGAGGGCATGTTGGGATTCTGTCAAGCTTTCTAGTGTGGAGTGCACATTGAAAGTGCAAGTGCCGTGTCCTGTGAACTTGCTGGTGCCTGGTCAACAAATCGCAGTTCCAGACAGCGCTAGAAACATCAGAAACACAGGCTCTGGAAAAGCAGCGCGACCAGCAAGAAGAAGTTGCCAGACGCCACCAGGCGGCTGCCCAAAGAATGCCTCTTCCGTGTCGTGGAAAAATCGTGAAGCGAGGGAGCTGCAAGCCCTGTGTCAGGAGCATGCTCAGCAGGCACACCAAGAGGCCACGGGGGCGGGCCCCGAAAGAGTTGTAGAGCGAGTTCGAAGTATGGCGACAGGTCACTGAGCACCTCAGCAAGCTGGAGGAGCATCAAAAAGCTTCCTGGCCGGGTGAGCGCTTTTAGCCGAGTCGTGACTTGAGCCATAGCGAGCCGAGGAGATGGTGGCTTTGAGAGAGCAGCTGAAGCGGGCACCTCAGATCTCAGATCTCGGCTCGCGACTTCGCTACTTTGCGAATTTCGCTCGAGTGGAAGGACCGCCTCGGAGGAGAAGAAGCGGGAGGAGGAGAGAATCCAGCAGATGCAGGAAGAACTTCGCAGGCATTGGCGCATAGAGCAGGAAGAGCCGACTTCTGCCCTTCGCAGGTGAGGGTGACTGGCCGCTACTTAAATGGCTCAAGCACTCGTTGTCTGCAAGCTTCAGCTTCGGCTTTCATGCTACTGGCGCAGAAGCTGCTATTCCTCCTCCTTGTGAGGGGGGTAGCTTTCCGGGAAAGCGTTGATCGAAGCCTGGGGAAAGCTTGGACTCCACCGGGTGGTGAAGATGTATTTTCCATCATGAACGTCAGCAGCCTTGCGATTTTGGACAAGTTGCTGAAGCAAGTGCATGGTGAACTGTTCAACATGACTCCATGCTGCCGTCGTTGGCTGTCATGTTGAGGTGAATACCTTTCTCTTGGAGGTTCGTATCGCTGGATGGGCGCCTCGTCAAGGGCTCGCTTTCGGCTCCAAGCCAGCGCGGCTCTCAGGTGCTGTGAAGCCTCTTCACTCGGCTGGCAGCTTGAACGACGCGAGGACATGCAGGCAAGAGCTGATGGACTTGTCCGCTGGTTCCAAGAGTTGAAGGAGGATGAGGTTCCAGATGCACGAGCTTGATTAGGTGTCGTTTGTTTTATGGGCTGCGTTTTTGTCGAGATAAAGCGCTCCCTGCTCGCAGCCCAAGGATGTCGTCGTGTTCAACGAAATCTTCTCCAAAGCAGCCAGCACCATCTTCAGACAGCTCTGTAACCCGCAATGGAGGCGGAATGGCTGGTATGCGAAAGACAATGTTCTCGCCTGCAGCACCGCTGGGCACTTCGGCTTTGCCACGAGAGTTCTGAATCCCGCTGGATGGGTGAAAATTTCAGGCTGCCTTGGTGAAAGCACATAGCGGGTTGTGCTGTTGTACAAGTGCGTCGGAGACACCGATATCTGATGATTTCTGCCTACTGGATTGTTTTTGGTCAGTAAACCACAGTGCCGGGAACAGACCCGAGCTGATCCTGTCGTGCTGCCTTGTCGCTTGCACAATATGTCTGTTAAAACATTTTGCTCTTAGACTCTCCTGTTGTTTAAGTGCTACACCTAAACCCTAAACCCTAAACCCTAAACCAGTTGCTGTCTGATGTTGCTTGTCCTCCCCCCAGCGTCCGATCCCTCGGGATCCGAGTCGCAGTGAAGGCTGCAGAGTGTGATGATAAGGGCCTGGCTCTATGCTGATAATAGTCATAACAATAGTCATAATAATAGTAGTAATAATAATAGTATTATTAATAATAAAAACAATAATAATAAAAACAATAATAATAATAGTAATAAAAATAATAATAAAAAAAAATAATAATATTAATAATATTAATAATATTAATAATAGTAATAATAATAATAATGCGTAACAAAGGATGTTTTTCGGGACTGGTCAAACAGACATCCTGCAGTCGCCGGATGATGTCGTTCATTGATGACTCGTGTATGATCTGCACAAAGTCTATAACAACATCTCATTCCCTGAGGTGGGGTAGTGATCATGGTGCGGAAGGGGCTGTACATATCAGATTTCCACGAGGAGGCATATGTCGATCATGATTTTGAAGACGGCATGTCGCAGAAGGCGCGGACTTCAGAGTGCTTGGCCTTGCTCATCAAACCTCTTCAGCAACAACCAGCACGGTATGCCTGCCAGGGCTTCATGCGTGTGCGAGTTGGGCATCCTTCCATCGGGGATGTGTGGGTTATCGGATCCCACACGCAAGCGTGGCCCCAGAATGCTGGTATTCGCGTAAAGCAGTGTGGTCCTCGATCTTCTCTGCAGTCACGATGCGCTCGAAAAGGATTCGGAGTGCCCGCATCTCTCGACTTGAGGTGGAAGCAAATGTGGAGACACATTGACGCGACGATTCCAGAAGGCTCCAAGCTGGTCATTGCAGGAGACATGAACACGGAGACGTCAGAGGTTGAAACAATGAAGAAAGCAGCCCAGCCTCAGATGTTTCCGACGTTTTTTTCCTGGATTGACTTTTCGAGGTCTTCAGTGCGGGCTTTCACTTTGGATATGTTACATCTGTTGGTGAGGAACTTCATTCAGAGAGCCCGCCTCTCGACGAGTCCGGTTTCTGGCTTCCGCTGCGGACGCCGCTTCCATACAGCTCGTATGTCACTGGTCTGCACGTATACGCTCCTCAGACTGCTCTGCGGCCACGCAAATTTCAAACGGTCAGGTTTAAGCCTTGGATATGTCGAGCACCCGCAGCGTGCAGCATGTTGCTTAGCATGTTGATGCTGAGGGTGGCGGTGGGCAGAATGCATATCTGCATTATGATAACCAGGCCCGGCTTTGGAATCGTTGTTGGCGTCGTCTTCTTTCTGTAGACAGCAACACTATCCAGTCACCTGTCGAGGAAACTCATGAAAAGAGCCCGCATGATCAAATCATGTACGTGTCAGCTGGGAATAAGCGCCTTGGCTAGCCCAGTGTTGCTTGTTCTGTGGCTGTGGAGAAATGGCCTCCCAGGTATTTGAGCCCTAAAAGCATGAGATGGCAATACTTGCCTATGAAGTCTGATGACTGCTTTCCGAGCGCGATAACCACACCGAACATCTCTATGGATGACCTGCGGCCTGGCCGCAGCGTGCGTTTTCTTTTTTTTTGTGTTGTCTGCGTTTGCTTCGTGGACAAGGTCTGACCACTATGCTGCTTATGCTCAGCTGCACTTGGGCGAGTTTAGAAAAGTTCTGCGGCTTCGGTTTGGAAGTTTGTCGTGCCGGGCTCTGTCCACCCACAGGCGACGCCCACTTCCCCCACTAGAGATGGTAGATGCTGGTAGAGTGATCCCCTTCTTCCCCACCTTGCGTGCGTTCGGCTCCGCTTCCGACGGTACTGGCCGAGCTGCTACTGCTGCTGATGCAGTGCGACTCCTCTCTCTCTCTCTCTCTCTATCACAGTCGAACACGTCTTACAAGTCTCGCACGGCGTGTTGCAACCGTGACTTGCAACGTCTGAGCTGGCAGCTCGCAACTACCCCAAACAGGAATTACCAAAAGGCACAGCTACCTGTGCACAGCCTGTCTCACTTAACGGACTCTCTCGCGCACCACCGCGTGTGAGACCGCATGTCCAAGAAGCCGCCACTGCGAGTGCCAGGTCACGACCAGCCGT